TGACGAGACATCGGCTGCAGAAGCTGCTGGCTGTGGCACCAAGCAGCTCAGGCTCTGGTTGCGACTAACCCCACCCCAACCTGACCTGCCCCACCCCCACCACCTGCCTGGCAAAGGCTTCTGCTCTGGTGACCTCATGACTGTTCCTCACCCCTCCCTCCATCCGAGTGTGGAAAATCAAGCAAGAACAGGCCATTGGGGAGTAGGGGTGGACCGCTGGTGCTCATAGGACTCTGGCTCTGTGCCCCCACATGCCGCTCCCAGCTACAGTGCCATGAAGGCTTGGAGCTAGCCCAGCTTGATGCCGTGTGGCCATGCAGCCCAAACCATGTTCTGCAGGGAAGGGCTGTGCCAGTCCCATGCTGCGCCATGTGGGTCCTGGCTTTGCAGCCAGGAAGTGCACACTGCAACCAGGACCGGACCGGAAAGTTTGGCTCTGTGCTGCATAGTGTCCTTTCTGATAGTGATTAGTGACTACAAGGCAACTGAGCTATTTAGAGAGAAAAAGCTGCATGAATCTTTCTATTTCATCCAAACAAGAGTGAAGACACTAGCAGCAACTATGGGATGATTAGGAGTAAGCTGGTTTTGGCTTTGTGTGGAAGAGTAATGTTGGTAGGGGAAGGAAGCAACCAGAGGGCGTGGGAAAAATTGTGTCAACACCTCTGAGGGTGCATGTTTGCAGTTTGTCAGTCATTTCCATAGGTTGTGACACTTTCAGCAGCCATTAGTTAATCATGTACCAGCAGTAATCCTCATTGTAGTGGTATGATCATCTTGCCATCCATTTTGCCCGTTTAAATTCATACTACTACAATTCATGTGACATGGGGTTACATCTTGGATAGACTTGGAAGCTGATGCAAAGTGTGGCAGTGCATTGGATAAGCAGTGCATTTTGCTGGAGCAGATGGTATCACCACACTTTTTCATCTGCACTGGCTCCCTATTGGCAGAGTGGAATTTAAGATGTTGTTCTTGACCTTGGATGGTGTAACAGTCTGGTATCTTAGGGGGTCACCACAATCTCCCTCAAGGCCCTCTTACCATGTCAAGCTAGCCTAAAGGGCACCCTCAATTCTCATGCTGTGCCCTCACTGGTGCTCAGGCTCTCCCCTACCCTGTCCCACGCTTGGGCTGTCACCGGTGTCAGGGTCCCCATACTGCTATGCATTCCCTATGAAGCCTCCTCCATCCCCTAATAGCCTCTCCCAAACCATCAGTTAAAACAGCAAACAAAACACAAGCTCTTGGGCTATAACAAACTCCAGCCACCCAGCTATAACATTATTCCAGCCACCCCCAGGGTGCTCCATCCTTTACCCATCTCAGGGCTGTACCTGCAGTCAGGCCTTGCCTTCCTGCTTGTTCTGGGAGAGCACCTTCCTCCTTGGCTGTTAGCAGGCAACTACCCCTCCTAGTCTCAGGCCTGGGATTTATATAGGAGCCAGGCCCTGCCCCTTCCAGTCTGCCGGCCAGGTGCAGGTGCAGCCACTTCCCTCATTAACTGGTTGTCCTGGCAACCTGTACCTGGGTTCCTATCTCCGCTCTCAAAGTAGCAGGCACCTTAGTGCCCTGCTACAGATGGCTTGGCAAAAGCTTATTTGAAAGACTGCCTCACTCCTTTAGTGTGATACTGCTATAGTTGAAGTCAGCAGGACTTTTTGTACTGGATCTTGTTATACTGGAGTGAGTTGTAGGAGGAGTTGTTCTTCAGGAGGGGCCTGTGACTTGAATTCAGGGCAAACTACAGGTGTTTAATACAGGATGAAGTTTGGGGGGAGTGGATTTATTGTGATCAGATTAGGGTTTTGTAGGAGCTAAAGCAGGAACATTTTCATGTTGCTTTTTGCCTCTTGTGGCTATTTTTGTTTTATTTGGGTTTAATTATTTGTCAGAAACAGCTACAGCCTGTGACCAGTATTACTACATTTTATATAAAACAAAACTCAAGACTAGAAGCTCTCTTGCACTAGAGCAGTGTTTCTCAACCCATGGGTCATGACCCAAAAGTGGGCCAGCACCGGCAGGAGCTGCCTCTACAGCCCAGCAGGTGGGACTCAACACAGGAGGGCAGAGCTGAGCAGTGAGACTCTCTGCTGCCACTGCTAGGACTCTCATGCCAGACAGGCTAACAGCAGTGAGAGGAGTAACAGGTGGGGGGGGGTGCTGCCTCACATCCTCCCACCACCAGCTGTTTGTGTGCCAGGCTGCAGCTCTACCCCACTGCCACGGCCCAGCTGCTGCCACTGCTCCCCTCAAGGCATGACTCTACCCCAGAAGGATGGTGGGGAGAGGGCAGTGCAGGCAGCCTGAAGGGAGTGAAGGTGGCTGCCTGGGCCAGCCAGGCTGCAGCCCTATTACCACTGTGGGCACAGAAATTGGGAGGGAGGCATGTGGGGTGGCAGTGGGTCAAGAGTGAGAGGCACCGGCAGGGCTGGGGGACTGGGATGGGAGTGAGAGGCACTGGCAGCTTCAGGAGGCTGTGGGTCAGGAGTGAGGCGCACCGGCAGGGCTGGGGGTGCAGGTTGGGAGTAAGGGGGGCCTTGAGTCCAAAAAGGTTGAAAACCACTGTGCTAGAAGATGGTTTTATGATTAAAGCACTACAAAAATTGGATTATCTAGATTCTCCTACTGACCCTACCATAAATGTCTTTTGTGTTCTCAGGCAAGATGCTCAAGATCCAAGATTCTCTACCCGAAAAAATAATTCCAGCCTACTTGAAAGGAATACTATGATATTGAATTAGTTCATATTTGTGAAGTACTTTGAGATCCTTGGATTGAAGGTAACGCTGAAGTGTAAAGAATTACCAGTCTTTTTAAAAACACTGATCCTTTGGTTTTCACCCTAGGTCAGTGATTCTCAGTCAGAAGGCTGTGGCACCCTAGGTGCCTTGAGATCTTTTCAAGGGTGCCATGTGGTACCAGGCATAGGTGTGCAAACATGATTCACAAGATAAACAAAGACATTTCAGATAGGATCCCTGATCTACTGTGTTCTTTTTGAGTTCTTTGCAACAGGAGAATTGCTCCATTGTTTCTGCGGGCAAAAAAAAAGAATGCAAACTAAGAGATGGCATTTTCTGTCGGGTGCTGTAAGTCTATCAAAGGGTGCCTTGAGTCTATCAAGGAGTGCTTTAACTGTAAAAAAACCTGAGAACCACTGTTGTAGGTGTATGTAATGGGAGGTCTCACACTCTGCACATGCACCTCCTCCCATTGTGATGAAAAAGCATCTGGGATCCAACATGCTTTTATCTTCTGAATGTTAGAACAGGAGTTGAGCTCCGTATAACATGGTTCCTAAATTTTCCAGTTTCTCTCTTCAACAGATGTCTTTTAGACTACTGCCACATGACTAGTGGCTGTCATTAAAACCTTCTGAGAAAAATAAAGGACAGACAAAACTAAATTCAGGCTAAACTCTACACTGACTTATGCTACATGCAACACCTTTAAAGTTGCAAGATGGTGCACAATGCAGTTTGTTTTCTACTCAGGTATCTCAGTGGATGTGCAATTATCAGACCACAGCACCCACAACATTGTCAGCAAGTTAAAACTTAGTGGACCCAGTTCAACAAGTAGTTTGATGACAGGTCCCTATTTATATTACACCTCTAGGAATGCTGTTGATTACTTGATTCCCAATTAAGACAGCCAAATGCTTATGAAAGCCTGTTTTTAATCGAGGCTTTCCTCCATCCAGTCTCCTTATTAGAACAGTTAAATGATTGCCCCATTTAATTTTAGCCTGACTGGCAAACAGCAAGGAAGGACACCTCAATACTAATATGCCTTAAATGAGCTCTTTGTCAATTTACCAATGAGGCTGCTTAGCACAATAACTAAGTTATTGTTACATAAAAATGTCCACTATATCATCCTGGTTATTACAAATTGTAGCCAGGAGATTCCTGGTTAAAAAAGCTGTCAGCTTGGCTCTCAAAATTTCTTAACTTGCTTGTGATTGGCAAAGCTGCAAAATAATGTGTTCTCCAGGAAGCCACATGCATGATGCCAGCAAATGAAAACAGGTTTCATTTGCTAAGACTACCTTGGTAGTGCATAATCACAAAAAGGAAATGGAAACAAATGCGTTCAAACTCCCAAACATGCAATTTTCAACTGTTGAGAAAATGCAGGGAACTCAGCAGAAATGGCTCATCAGCTCCACATGAAAAGTAACAGGCGCCACGCCACCTGGCATGCTGCTAATTCCCCTTCCATGAAACGAGCCAGGTGAAAAAAAAATTGGCAAATGGAGGGAAATGCCTTGGGCGGTCACATGCAGCTGGAGGATCCGTATTAAAACAACTGCAGGCACCCAAACTGAGGGGATTCTGGAGGAAAGTTGGAGTTGCACGTGCAGGCTGCTGTGCCTAGATGCTGCAAACACCCGTCTTCCTCTGGGGGCTTGTGATGATCACTCAGCCCAAAACAGCGGGGCCTTTCATTGTGTGTAGCCCAGTAGCTCTCGGGCCTTTTTGCACAGGAGGCAAAGGCTTCTTCTCCTCTTTAGCTCTTCATGCGGTGCAGGCAGATCTGGACCAACAGCGTTTTCAAGTTCAAGCTTTTTCCTCCGTGTCCCGGTCAGGGAGGCGTGTGAATAGGAGGTGCTGGGCCCCGAAAAGACCGTTTCCTGCAGAAAGGAAGACGAAACGTCCCATGCAGGTCTCCGCTTCTGTGAGCCCAGCAGTTCACACGTTAACGTGCATACGATACGACAGTGCCGGTTTCCTCACGCAGGGGCTGGGCAGCGGGGGATCCTCCAGGCAGGGACTGGCTCAGTTGACCAGCCCGTCTCCTCCCCCCTCTCTTCTCTCCCCCTCGCCCCCCGCGGGGCTGTAGCAGCCAGCTCGGGGCCGCGCGCCGCTCTCAGCTGTGGGCGCCCCGCCATCGCCGTGCGTCGGGGGCCAGGGCCGCTTCCGACCAGCTTCGCCCGAGCGCGCGGCGCGGCGGGGAAGGGAGGGGAGGGCAGAGGGAGGGGCCAGCGGAGCAAAAGCGGGGCCGGGCGGAGGCGCGAGGCAGTGGGTGAGCAGCGCCGCGCCCGTCCCGCGCCGCGAGCAGGGAAGGAGACACCGGGGCGTGGGCGGTTTTGGCGAGGCAAGGCGCGGAGCTCCCTTGCCCTTGCCCTTGCCCTTGCCCTTAGGAGAGGAGCGCAGGCGGCAGCATGGGCGTGTCCGCCTCCAGCCCGCTGGACGAGAGCAAGTGCACCTACATCCGAGGTGGGTGCCTCTCCGGGGCTGCGGGGATCCGAGTCCCGCTGGGGTTTCTTGGCGGGACGGGACGGGGCGCTTCAGACTTGTCTCGGGGCACGAGGTGTGGAAGCCGCGCCGGGACTCACTCACACCGCGCCGGGACACTGTCTCTGTCTCTCGATTATCTCTATATATAGATATCTCTCATATAAATAATCTCTCTACATATATAGAGAGGTCTATATAGATATATAAATAATCTCGATATATCTATATAGACCTCTATATATTTGGAGAGATTATTTATGCAGATCTCTCTCGATATTTAGAGAGATCATTTATTTATCTATATAGATCTCACTATCAACCTGTCTATCTGTAGAGAGAGATGCAGATATATTTATTGATCTATAACCCCTAATGTGCGAGCTTCCTTCTTAAATGTTCTGTCTGCCCATCTGGGTCTCTAGCTCCCCCTCACTCCCTAGCAGCTCACCTCATGGCTAACTATTTTAAATCTGGAGACTTGCAGCGGTGAAACAAATCCTTTCATGGGCCATAGACAGGGGTGTTTTGCAGTGCTTACCCTTGCTCTATAGGTGCTGTCGGCTCACCCTGAGAGAGCTCTGCCAGTGTGAAATGTTGGGGGTGCCCCCTCTTTTAGTGGGCGTTTGTGCTGGCAATTGGTTTGGGGCGTGACATCTATGGAGTAAGAGTGAAGAAGCACTGCTGCTTTAGGGTCTTCAAGAGGCTGCTCTGCTCAGAATGGTTCTCGGTGAATAAATCCCTGTCGTGGAGAATAATGGACCCAACTGTGGATCTTCTGCTTCTTAGTCAAAGAAGACTGGGAAGCAGCTGCCTTTGTTGCACCATTACTTCTGCAAATCTGTGAAGGGTAGAGTCAGCCCCTGAGAGCACTATAAAGGCTTCTCCTCTAGCTCTTCATATGGTGCAGGCAGATCTGCACCAACATAATTTTAAATTTCAAGCTGCTGTCTCAGTGTTCTGGTCCTTGAGGCCTGTTAATAGGAGGTGCTGGTCCCCGAAAAGACAATTTTCCTGCAGAAAGTAAAATATGAAGAGTCCAATTTTTACTAGTCCTCTAGAGGCACGAAATTAAAAACTCTTGAAAAAATGGAGAAATCCCCTGCCACACAGTTAAACAGTAAATGTTTGTTTAGAAAGTATGGGGCCTTCATTCATTTTTCAGTCTCGTTATCTATTGCGAAGGATCTTTATATAGCTAATAATTCCTGCTCCAAACTCTTGGTTTGACTAATTGTTAACCATCTACTTAAAAGAAAAAATCAAAGGAGGGGGAAAAAAAAGTCGAGTGAAGAAAGCACCCAACACTATCACTTTCGTGGGAAAAGGAGGAAGAGGGTATCTTCACTTCCTCAGACCTATTTAGGACCCAGTCCTGCAACATGTTGCACTATATGCAACTACAGATAGATTCAGACCTTGTTTACCAGTGGTAGTCTTCTGAGAGACTTTGGCTTACCCTCTTTCCAAGAAACAGTGGTGGATGTGATGCGTTCCTCTTTCAACAGGGGAGGAGGATGAATCCGTATATATTGCTTTCCTTTCAAATATAAACAATTTTGCTCCAGTTGTAGAAACCAGATGAATGTTTTTTTTCAGAATGACTTAAGTCAAGGCCTTCATAAATAACACAGCAAGATGGAAAGGGACACATCTGCTTTTTGTCAATACAACTATAAACCACAGTATGTGAATTTCTAAATAACAGTATAGGCCCAATCCCATATTCTCATATCCATGTGACTTCAATTGTACTAGGCACATGAGTGTTGTCGCTCTTCATATACAAATACATTGATCTTCTGCACATCCTGAGGTTCTTATTTGTTTTTTTACTACATCCTTCTTAAGGTGAATTTCTGTTTGCTTTAGTAAGGAGTAAATCAAGATTTTGGGCACTAAGTTCTTGTTTACACTGCAGAATCTTATGTTTGACCACTATTTGGAACTTGGTGCTTACCACAATCTAAATCTACAACAATGTAGACAAGGACAGATTGGATTCAATTTATGTCACTAAGTTTGATTAAAATGTGTTCCAACAGGGGTTAGTCCGCACCACGTGCAGTAATGCTGAATGCAGGTTTACCTGATGGATACTGACTTCTAGGGAATGGTCATTGTAACATCAACTAATTTGTCCAAAATAATGTTCCAACAATAAAATGTTATAGTATTTTATTGTAAGGTAGAGATCTAAGGTAACACACTCTAACAAATGGAAATGAGATACTGGGTAAAGGGGGTGTTAGAAATAAGATCATGTGGTTACTTTGGTTACAAGTACATGCCTCTTGCAGCTTTCCCCCAAATGTTTGTTTGCTTTTGTTCCTAGTGTGCATTAAGGAGAAAAAGGTATAAAAACTTTCGGAAAGGAAATAGGCAGACAAGCTTCTTTGGGTAAATCCAATCTCTTTTATAAGACCAACTTAAATAGTTGGAAAAATTCTTGGTAAGCTTTCGGGCACAAACGCCTTTCATGAGGCTGACAACCTACACCTTCAGAAAGGAAAGCATTTTAGGGATAGTCTAGAGGAAGAGAAATAATAGACTGGCTCAGGGTTTCAGATGAATGGGATAGCATGGAGAGAAACTGATAGGTGAGACGGGAACAAGGGCTATGTGTATACCCCCCCGCCAAAACAGCACCCAGCCTTACCTCTTCCTCTGGCTGATCTGTGAGAAAATATTAGGCAATGCATTTTTCCCTGAGGGTGAATAAATTTGAGTCTTGTCACACCAGCTGGGTAAATGAATTCTGGAAACAAGCATGCAGCCCTTTAAGAATACTCTGCTACCAGTCCCAGTGCTTTGAATCTGGGGACTGTAAACTGAGGTATCTCAGTTTATATTATCTTTTCAGGGACAAGCTTTTGGACAGACGGATCCTAAATCATTGAAGCTATGCTTGAAGTCAGAAGGGAAGGGAATCACCATAGCAAAGTCTTGATAGGGAAGAGAGAGTCTCAAATGTTTAAGATGCATATGGAAATAAAATTTTAGAGCCTTTTAACTCTCAAGAAATCTCTGCGACCTAAGAAACATACACATATAGGGTGGAGTTTTTTGAACAGTTGAAGAGAAATAAATGTCAGGTTCCCATTAAAAATTGATCATAGCTGGCAGTGGTATAACAGCCAGGGCACACACGAGTGCTGAGAGCAGGGGGTTGCAGGAGTTTTACCAAAAATAGTGTGCTGCTTTTGCTGCTATGGGCTTTGCTTACCCTGGTTCTTGCTCTTACAGCAACGTGGTGGCTGGCAATATGGTGGCCAGCTGCTGTGAAAAGAACAACACTATGGGGCTGCTTTTGCTGCCAAGGTGCAGACTCGGAGCGGGTAGGGAATGATTTGGCATCCTTCCTAAGTTGTCACTGGGGGTTGGTGCCCCTCTTGCCTACCCTGGTTACACTGCTGATAATTTGTCACAGGGTGACCTGGCTCTTAAAGAAGACTAGGGTTTAGCCTCACCTGTGCCAGATGTAGTCTGCTTCCCCAAGGAGAGGAGATTAGTTTAGGGTGAAATTATGAGAATGAAGTCAAAGACAAGTCTGCTGAGAGATATGAAGACTACTTGAAGTCAGTGAAGGAGACTTCCAGCAGAGTAGACTCGCTGGTGTGGATGCTGTACTGAAGAATATGTGGACTGAGTGGCCCAAATCCTAGCAAGGATTTCCATGGAGAGAAAGATAGGGCATTACTGAAATTGCCATCCCTTACAGGATTTTCTTGCTATTTCCACACAGAAATAGAGTTGTTTTACTACAGATGTTTGTAATTTTTTTTTTTCATTTGCTGAAGCTGTAAATTCCTTGAGATATTGCAAGAGATCTCAAGTGCTAAGGGCATGAGCTAAAGCCCATTGCAGTTAAAGGGAGTATAACAGAAACCTGGGGATAATAATCCTTCTCTATAGGATTTTCATGGAATATACCTGAGACACTCCAAAATAGCAAAATGCCAACAAACTAGACGGAATTTAGGGAAGAATGACGGTAATAGTTTTGCCTGCATAGATTATAACAATATACATATCCTATCTGATCTTTAGTGGGGCTAGGTATGTAGAACATAATTTGTGTAATATTTTTGATGGGTTTTAATACCAGATGGGGAGACATTGTTAGGGTGGTATTAGGAAGTATAACTAAAAGTAATGAGGTGAAATTAAGAAAAAAGTTGAACATCAGGAAAAACTTCTTAGTAGTGAGTTTTAATAGAATATGCCATAGAGTTAAAAGGAATGTGGTATAAGCCCTTTATCTGAGACGGTATTAGATAATAAAAAAGAACTTGACTGTAGAAAACAGGTCTTCTACACAGGTAGAGGGGAGAAGGATGAGTACAAAAGTAGCTGCTGTTGCATCTAGTGGCTTGCTGTGTTACATAGGCAATGGAAGGCCAGGGCTAATGGGGCCTAGACCCCCCCAAAGTTTCACAGTGGCCAGCGACAGCAGCAGCACCGTGGTGCCGCTGTCCCTCAGTGCCCGGCACTGCTCGGTGTGCAGCTGCTCCTCCACTGCTGCATACATTACCAGTGCATGCCAGATCCTCAACAGCCCTGTGGGAGGGAGGGATGGGGGTCAGGCAGGGCTCAGCCACCGCAAATAATATTTTCCCCCACCACTTATGCTGTGTTACCTCCACTGGCAGTGCAGCAGCCTGTGCTGTGTGCTACAACTGTTTGGGGTGCAGAGCTGCTCTGCTACACCTCTGGTATGAAGTGATGCAAATGCTGCATTTTGTAACCTTTGTATTAGCAAATCTTCTGGTAACTCTTGTTTTCTTCCAGCAGTTAAAACTATTAGTTATTTCCATCTGCAATGGACTTCTTTTTAGTAATTCATTTTGTGTGTAATGCTGAGTGCATAACTAATGAAGATATAATATATCCACAAGGGGTAAAATTAATCCTTTAGGGTGCAGTCCTGCAAGATGCAGCATGCCTCTAAGAGGTAAATAACTCCCTGCTCCATTTGTGAA